AAGGAAACACAATCTACTCTTTCAGTGCCTTTGCTAGGGATAAACCTGCATGGTAAGAGGGAGAACTTCAATCTGGGTGTGATGTGCTAGGTCATGAGTTTATCCTTAAAACATCTTTGGACTGTCTAGATATTTCCTAATTGAAGGAGTACTAGAGATTTGATATCAGAACTTGTTTAGGTCAGGGGAAAAGGAACTCATTACAAAACCTCAACATCACATTACAAAACATCAACTCAAAACAAAAGTTGGTGATTGGGTAAGTGTGAGTGGTTGTGGTGTAGCTACATATGGTACAAACAGTTAAAGTCCAGACCACTAACAGACATATGGGACGGTTGCAGAAAGTCTAGTATCACAAAATGGAAAGCAAGTATTAGACAAATGAACCAAGATAAGGCAATTTAACAGAAAAAAAAAAAAATCCAGTAACTCAGGCGTATGACAACTTTGTGAGCACCCTGGAAAAGTACAATCTCATCATTGAGATAGAGAGCTCTATTGGGTCAAATGAACTAGCCTGATACACAGAAGATGTGCAAGTAGATTGCCAGCCACTCTGCCACACCCAGTATAGCATATGGAAACTGGGGATGTTGAAAGTAATTAAAAGCAAAAAATTGTCATAAATTTCTTGAAGGAAACAGAAGGATGGAAAGAACATTTTATGATCAGCAAACTTGAGAACAAAGATATGAACAACATGATACAGCTTTTTTTTGGTTTTGTCATGAGGAGTATGTAGATTGGGAAGAAAAGAATCTTAGCAATGGATTAGTAGAGGGAGATGGTAGAATTATCAGTAGTGCAAAGAAGGTTGGAATTCAATAAATATTTCTCATTTTATGAGGGCTTCAGGCCTTTTTCCCATTTCACATGCACATGAGATGGTTGGCATTGCTTTCTCCAATAATCTCTTCCCCATTTGCTACCACTCTTGGCTTTAGCAATTGCGCTTGTTGCTCTCTCACAGAAACATTGTATTACGTTATAGGGAGTAGATTTTACCAAACTGACTTACTATTTTTGTTTGGGTTTGGTTGAATAAGGTAATAACATTGATACAGTGGATTTAGAACTGTATAAAGCATTCTACTTGATACTGCAGCATGTTTTGGCTAAGAGCTAGAAAGCCATCAAATCAGCTGGACACACATTGAAGGAATTAAACACTAGTTAACTGACAGGTTTCAAAAAATCTCATCACTTGATAGAAATACTTCTGAAAGGGTTCTGCAAGAGAAGGTTCTATGAGAATCATTCCTCTCACTGCCTAGTTTGCTGTTTCGTAATGTCCAAGAAAGAGTACTAAAATGTTTTCTGATGAAGTCTGCAGATCTCACTAAGACATGGAGAGTTGAAAATATTAAGCTGTAGCTACATATGGTTGATCTATAATGATGTGATCTGAAGAACAAGTAAAAACCAACAGTGCAGTGTAAGGCTGTTATCTAGAAGATTTTATGCTTCATTAAAAATAAAAAAAAACCAAAAAACCAAAAAAATCCACACACACCCTCCCAAATACGTGTAACAAGAACAAAGCGGATTAATGCCCTATATTTAGTTTTTAGTATTTTCTCCTCTCTTTGGGGATATGTTAGTTCCAAAGAGACATTTAGATCTCTAACTCCTTGCTGTGTTACTTTTCACTAGAAGACATTTCTGCTTTTTTTTGAGTCCTATGGTTCTGTCTTTCCACCTTACATGTGGGAGACCATTCTGCTGTCCTTTGGTTACAGCAGAACTAGACTATTTATTATGGTGTTGTTGTGTTAATAGAATCACCCCACCTTGGCTGAGGAATTCCTTGTAGTTACCCAGTCACCTTAAATCATGCTTAATTCAAGGTAGGATGAGGTAAAATGCAAATAGAAGTAATAATTCATTACATCTAAAATAGACAACATAATTACAAGCATTTGGAAAAGATGTAAGTGAAGAAATAGAAGTTCATCTGATCTACCGACACTGAATATATCACAAAAGTAGTTTTTGTTTTGGATTTTTTTCCCCTTTTTTCATTTCCAGGTGACTTGTCCCTCTTCTGGCAGAATGGCTCTCAGAATTTTCTTTCCTCCTATTCCTCAGATTGCTCTTAGGTGATTTCCATCATTGGAGACCTTGCATCACACAGAACTCCATACTGGGGTCTATCATCAGAAAACATCTTCAGAAGAAGCCTTCAGACTTCACCTTCAGGTACTTTCCTGAATTGTCATGTTGACCTCACTTGCTGATGGACAGTTTTAGCTCTTGCAGCCAGTCTGCACTTTGGTGGTTTTTAGGAGTCCAGACAGATTTAATCTGTCACCTTGGAGCTTGTTCTAGCTCTCCTTATGGTCTGACCATTCTGTTGAATTAATAAGGATTCTTTTGCGTCCACAAATATGCAAATATCTTAGAAGAGAAGTTGTGTCCTGTGTTTGACTAGCTCATAATCATCTTCTTTTCCTCAAGGAGGCAAGTCTCTTTCATTTCCCTCTTGTGACTCATTGACATGTTTCAACATGAAATGTGCCTTATGGCAGACCTTATATTAGGTACCAGTAATGTAATTAAAAAGTATATGTGATAAAAGTATCTAAATAGGGTAAATTAATCTAGGTCATTGTTGTGGTTTAACCTGGCAGGCAGCTAACCACCACACAGCTGTTTGCTCACTCTCCCTCCCCCAGGGGAAAGGGGGAGATAATTGGGAAAAAAAAAGTGAAATTCATGGGTTGAGATAAAGACAGTTTAATAGGACCAAAAAGGAAGGGATAATAATAATAATAATAGAATATACAAGATAAATGATGCACAATGCAATTGCTCATCACCTGCCTGCTGGCAGGGCATGGGAAGCTGAAAAGTCCTTGACTGGTGTAAGCACTACTTAGCAACAACTAAAGCATCAGTGTGTTATCAACATTCTTCTCATACTAAATGCAAAACACAGCACTATGCCAGCTACTAGGAAGAAAATTAACTGTATCCCAGCCAAAACCAGGACATTCATTTTCTGATTCCTGAGACAAGTATGATAACAATAACTACCCTGAGGTGATGGCATTTAAGGTAAATGGAGTCCAACCTCTTTCTCCTAAGCATACTCTACCAAGCAGTCCCTGTGCAGGACTATTTAGTGTCATATTTATCTTAATTTCTACAAAGTGTGAAATTGTGTCTTCAAACCACAAAGAATAAAAAGAGATCACTCAGTCTTGGACCTCATGAGATCAATGAACAATCTGCCTGACTTCAGCTGGCCTTGAAAACAGCCTTTGATATATTAGAAGTCAATAGATTGCACAGTGAAGGGAGAATTGACATGCAGTGAATAAAAAGTTAAAGGCCAAAGAGCAACACGTATTTTTTCTTGTAGCCCTTATAATGGTCTTATGCAGCCAAGAAAATGCAAAAATATTGGCTAAATTCCATTGTCTGTAAAAATACTGCGTTCACTTGAATGAGTGTTGTAACAGCTTAATGTAAACACAAGTAAATTGTTAATATGTGGCTGCAGATTTGTTCATAACGATGTTTACAGGTCAACGGTAGTGAACAGTCATCCCTCTCCATTTCTCAGGTCATGTCTACACTAAGAGAGATTTAATAATTAGTAATGCTGTTAACTGCATGAGTTTGAAGATATTCTGGTAAAGATATGTGATATAATAATCACTTGTCAGCCCAGAAAGGAAGAAGCCTTGTGTGCAAGTACATTTTCAGCAGTTTAACTCATGCTGCCTCTACTGCTGTCTCAGAACACACAGGAAAGCAGTTTCCATTATGGCACCTGGGGTTTATGTACATCCACCACAAATAACTTCCAGAGCGGTCCTGTTGTATCTTTGTAAAAACAAAACAAACAAAGTTGAAGTTACATCCTCAAGAAATCCAGGTGAAGATGTTTTTACTGCCAGCAGGTTCAGGGCAAAAAATCGAGAAGCAGAAAAGGAAGACAGTGTTGCTTGACTTTTTGGATGATGCAGACTTTATGGGACAGAAATAGAATGTCATGTTTGCCAGTAGTTATGGTTTTGCAATTTTTCTACCTGAAATAAAAAGTGGTGACAGGCACGCTGACAAAGAGCTTTCTAGTGGGGGCAGCACAGTGAGATTGCACAGAGGACTTATAGAACTGTCTTTCCAGAAAGTGCAAAGGGACAGAAAGAGTGAGCACAGGAGAGGGAATACATTGATTGTTGGACTGCACTGGCCTTCTCTCCTTTTATCTGTGAACATGGAACATCTCCTTTTCTGTTCTTTCCTCTGCTGCTTCTATATGCTTCCTGCCATAGTGAACCATTTTGAGGCCCTTATGCTGCCGCAGCAATGGCAACAAACATATATACACTGCAGTGTCTTTGAGAGAGAGAGAATGGAAGAACTAATCTATTGTTAGTAGTTATGATTCTCTGCTGGAATGTGGAAGAGCTTCTCCTGCACTGAATATTGATTTATTTGTACAAAGTGGAAGGCTTCAGGGCAAGAGATGGGAAGAATCTCATCCTGAACGCATCGTAGGCGTGCGGATAGTCCTGTGGAAGGTTACAGAAAACTTTCTACTCCCAGACTCCAACAAGTAAGGTTATTTGAAAAAAAATGAATCTCTGTAATCCTAAATGTGGTTATTGTTACACAATGTGATGGGGTAGATGAAGTTTGCTTGGCAGCTTTAAGTGAGAAGGGAGGAGTATTTGCTCATATACAGTTCACTGTTCTGAGAAAGGGGGGAATTGCATAATACTTTAAAATGGTCCTATTATTTGTCTGTTTGGTTTAACAGTATAATTGTGGTGAGTCTTTCTCATAAGAGAATTTTTACTTATTAGCAAAGCCTGGTTTTATAGGGCTTGAAAGGTCTTCTTGCTAACATAAATTCTGTAAGAGAATACCATGTTATCTTTGTTGCATCAGTCATACAAGATCTAACTTGTATTTTCTTTTCTTGTTGACAGAAAGGCGGATTTCCACTTTAGAGGTCACCTCATCCTCCTTCCTGTGAAAATAATATGAACCAGAAGGTGTTAGTTTTCCTTCTCCCAAATTTTATTTTTGGGATATTTCTTTGGGGTTTTTTCTGTAAGAGACAAAAAAGCCTAACAGGTGAGTAAAGAATTTACCAACAGAAAGACTTAATGTTTTCTAGAACCAGGGACATCTTTCCCAAATGTAACTATGGAGCCTAAGTGATAAAGAATACTGTGAAAATATCCAAGGCCCTGTCACTGTGATAGCTATGTTAGCAATGCCTGAGAGGAAGAGCACTGCAAAACCCAGTTGACATCGGAAGTCTCAGAACACCCATCTTGCTTAGAGTAATATTGCTAATGTGCTGAAATTTTTCATTTTAACAAACTTTTCACTAAGCAGGGTAGTTTATTGCATGTTTGTCATACTGGAGTCCGGTAACAGTAAACAAAAAATTTGTTTTAGCATCTTCATTAGTTTTTGTGTGCAGGGAGATAGATTGAGTGCTATGGTTGTCACAAAGAAAGAGACTTACAGAAGTCCATTTCACACTAATAGTTTGCATTTCTTCCTTGGTTGCAGGTACTTTTCCTGATCCCACTGAAGATTGGCTGGCAATTCAAAATGATCGCAAAAGCACTCTGGCTTCTGTCTGCCTGAAGAACAACCTTCTTAAATTAAGAAGCAAATTGGATTCTCATGTTGCAAACCAGCTGTTTGTGGAGCACAAACATAAATTTATCTACTGTGAGGTGCCCAAGGTAGGCTGCTCCAACTGGAAGAGAACTATTTTTCTTCTCCAAGCAGGCTTGAATGCAGAAGCTTCTGAAATTGAGCATGACCACATCCACCAAACCTCACTGATCAAAAAGCTGGTGAATTACCCTCCTGCTATACAGAAGGAATTTCTGAACAATTATACCAAAGTGATGTTCACCAGGCATCCCTTGGAACGGCTGGTTTCAGCTTACAGAGACAAACTTCTGCACTCTGAGCCATTCTACAGTATCACCATCGCTAATGAGATTAGGGCAATGTTCAGGAAAAACAAAAATTCTTCTGAAAAAGTGAGTTTCCAGGAGTTTGTCAACTTCATTATAGCAAAACCACCGAATGCTCTTGACATTCACTGGAAACCAATGTTTCTGCTCTGTGATCCTTGCAACATTCACTATGATATTCTGGGTAAGTATGAAACTCTTGGGTTAGATTCTGAGCATGTTCTGAAGGCCATTGGAGCACCAGAGAGCCTGCACTACCCCAGCTTGAAGAGGTATGGCTCAGAGAAACGAACTAATGGTGATATCACCTTGGAGTATCTCAGACAATTGAACTCAGAACAAATTGAGAAAATAAAAAAATTGTATCAAATGGATTTTTTCTTGTTCAACTATACTATGAAATACAAGGATTATTTTTCCCTGAATGACTAATGTAGATTAAGCAAAGAACAATCTCCTTTGTATAAAATGGGCTGAACTTGTCCTCACAAGTGCTTGAGAGGTGGGTTGGTGACTGCTGCTGAGATTTTACTGGTGTTTGGAGACACAATTTATCATCCTAAGCACTCTTATAACAAACCCCTGCCAGGATCTGTTGTACTGTATGGTACTTTACCTACGTGAAATTATTGTCTTCTTGTTGATCATTAGTGGCATTATGTTTGCTTCATGAAGACAGTTTATAAATGATAGATTTTGCTCTGTTGGTAAGACATAGGGGAAGGATGAAGAACGTTGTTTTTCACAATGAATGTTTTTAGAACACTTTTTTTATATAAATGATTTTAATTTTTTATTAGCAAAAGACATATGAAGCAATAAATAATCTGCTTTAGAGTCAAACCACTCTCTGTCTGCAAGAGCCTCAATGATGAATCCTGTAGGAAAGGAGCAAATAACTTCAGATGCTTGAAGCTGCATTATACAGAACTTAATGCCTGATTATGTTCTCCTCTGGCAGTGCTCTCACCACAGTCCACCAGCCTCATCCCTCAAGCAGTATAACTGGCAGCAATCCAGCCAGGGTTTCCCTTATATCTTCAAAATCCTCCGATGAGCAGGTCTGGTGTTCACAGTGACTTTGCAGGCTCTTTGCTCACCTTTGTGAGCACTATGGTCTGATTTAAGAGGGAAGGTCTGAAAAACGTATCTTTTTTTCGAAAAGTAGTTAGAGGCATCTTCTAAATGGTACAACTGTGGTGGTGCAGGATCTAAAAATCTCAGTGGAAAGGTGACTCTTATCTATTCCTCAAAAGCACTTACCACCCAGTCAGTTGACTGGCCAGTCAGCAGAGTGGGAACAATGTTTGGGCTTTCCCCATTTGTGCCTGCTGGAGCCCAGGAGCCCTTGGGTTTTACCTGAGCATGGCACTTAGGTAGAGCTGGATAACCTCAGATAATACATTTGTTCTACCTGTTGTTTTCTTACCTCACAGGAGATTGAGTGCAAATAAATTGTAGAATTATGGTGAGGGGAGCAATGAAGCCTACAGGAGAAGCAACTCAAACCATTATCCATTTATATTCCTAGGTGGCTTTGGCTTTAGATCACTGAGGGGTCTGTAACTGCTACTATATTAAGTAGAAGGCTTGCCCCATTTTTTTTTCAAGAATCTATTGCCTAATCACACTGAAAATTAATTTTTGACCATATTAATTGTAGCAATACTTAGAAACTAATTGTGAGTGGTAGCACCACCTTTAGGGGATGACAGTCTCTTGGGAGCTAACTTGAAAATGCACTTAGTTCCTATCAGCTATACCTGCAGATGTACAAAGGCTGGCAGGCTAGTCTTGGATCCAAAGTTGGCTCACAGCTTCTTATTTCATAGACAAAGACAGGGACAAAATAACTTAATCACACTGCAGCCACCAATCTGTACAGCTATTGCTGCCAGCAGCATGGCCAAGGGAGAGGGAAAAGGGGACTGGGAAAAATGGATGCGATGGGATTTGGGTCATGAGGGTTGTGAAGAGAGCTCTCAGTGCAGGGAGTGGGATGCAGGGGTGGTCTACCCCAAAGAGAAGATGCAGTGATGTATTGGACATCAGCTGGAGACACTGATGAGACAATGGTGACAGGAGGCGTCAGAGGAAAAAGCTCTCTGCGTCCCTCCTTGACGGCAGATGGTACACAAAACCAGGACTACTGTTCAGTACATCTGGCAGCCCTTGCATGGCTGACTATTCCATAAACGGGGCAGCTTTGGCACAGGGAGAGATCCAAAGTGAGAAGACTAAGCAAGAATAGCAAAACAATTTTTTTTTTTCAGAAATAGTTTGTGATTTTATGCGGCGTAATTCACAGTTCTGGATCTTACCCTCACCACCACCATAGTGGGTGTCCCCACAGTCCTACTACCCCCTGACACTGGATTGCTCATGTTGCCTGGATTTTTTTTTTTTTTTTGCTTTTTCATTGTGCTGAGGCAGAGGAAGCTAATTCACTCCCATCAAAGTTAAGGCTATGCAGTCTCTCTCTCTTACTCTTGCCAGAATCAGAGCTATCTCCAGCTACTTGCTTCTCCTACTTTCTTTGACAGACCATGCAGAAGAAGAGGGGAATAAGATTTGCTTCATAACTTTTTTCTACATGATAGATCCCTCCAGAGCTATAAGCTTCAGCAAAGATACTTTAACTTTCTGGCACCATCAGCCAGCCTAGGAAAACTCTGAAGAAATAATACTGACAGAGTTTGATAGGTGTCTTTGCTAACAGCACTCTAGTGTTAACACTCCCCTCCTGTTTCTTGCTGTTAGATATGAGTGGCTTTCTATTCTTATTTTCTCTTTCACACAGGCTCACATATTCTTCCTACAGTGGTGACAGAAAGCGGATGGCTAATTCATTCATCAAAAGCGCTAGTCAGTAACAGAAGGCTATCTGTTGATGCACAAAAAGCTCTGTAACTATTCATGATGAACTTTGATATTTGACATTTGCCCATAGGAAACTGTAAGTAGCACACTGCCCGGAACCACTGGCTGCTGTAATGCTGTTTAGCTGGTGTGGGTCTCAACTCAAAAAACTGCAGAGGACATGTGGGTGCATGTATGCACATACAACAATAGTTTTAGGAAGCAGTGTCATACAAGAATGGTATAAATTGTGCATTACTGACGCTATCAAAATGAGAATAATGGGTTGATATCTATTGGAAAATAGAAAAAATGGACAATACCTTATAGAGGATCTTATGACATTCCCCTGCAGGCATCTCTTAATGCTCAACCCAATGTAATGCATTTCCATTTCTGTGAGCCTGAGAATACTCCCTGACACCCCCCCACCCAAGAGCTGCTGTGTGGTGGCACAGGAGTACATAAGACCTCTGCAATATGTTTCAGAGTTCATGAAAATGATGGTGACTTGCTATATGTTGTAAAAAACTTTCACAACTTGTGAAGATGGGCATGGAAGTTTGGGCTGAGGTCAAAAAACGAGTCTGCAAGAGAGATTTGCAAGGCCTTTAGTACTCACGTTGAGTTGGCTGTATTTTTTAGCGATAGCTCTCAAGAGGCAATGTTTGCAGAAAACTCAGGTCTATAGTATTCCCTGACATGTGAGCAACTGCCCATTGCCCAGAGCAGAGTGGGGACTGTACCACCTGGTTTATTCCCCAGGTGAACCCCAAGGCTCATTCCACTGGACAGCATTGTATGTTTGCCGATGAAAGGCCTTACTGTTATTTCATTCTTGATATTGCAATGTGATAAAAGCTGATGAAGGCTCTGGACCTTGTCCTAGTCAGCCCACAAGAATGCAAGACACTTTGTAAACTTTATGATGAAAATGATGACTGTCTCTTCATTGGCCTGGGAGAGAGATTTCCTGTGCTGTTTTCCTACGAGTGTACTGTCCAGAACAAAGGCTCTAAGCTGAGCCGGCCTCTCTCCTGTCCTTGCCTAGAGAAGACCCCTCAGTGGAGCTTCTTTCCTTTAGGTGCTAACTCTGGGTGAAATTTTCCTGGGAGGAAAGTGGATGCTTGCAGTTGGGAGCAGGGGTGGAGGTGGCGTAGCATGGCATGGCTCGGGGCTCAGGCCCCTGGGGTGGATTAGATGAGGTAGACGTTGCCATAATTTATCTTCTGATATATTGTTATATGCCTGTGGTATGACCTTTGCTATGTTTTATTTCTAATTACCGTAATAAACCATAGTGGGTTAACACATTAATCTATTTGTTCATCTGTCTCAGTAACATCTGTTTAAAAAAAAAAAGACTCAGAGCCATTCCGTCAAGTCATAACATAGGCCACATGCTATTAGACAACAATAAATATAAAGCCATTTGGCTCTGCTTTGGTACATTAATATAAAGCTGTCTCACAGGACTTTTAAAGAATTGAAAGAATTAGCAAATACTAATGAGTGTTCCAGTTTGGAGAAAAGATGGAGCTAAGCTGGGAAAGGAAGAGAAACAAAAAAATCTTGCAAAGTCAGGCTTGCAGCTTTCCTACAAATCCATCTGTCAGCAGTGAGGAAATAAGGGAGAATTTTCCCATTCTCATGGATATCCACACACACATCCTTTTAGGACAGGTATCCAGAAACCTGACATCATACTTTCTTGGTGAAAGTATAACAGATCTGACAGTCGATCAGTGTATGTCAGTGGTGGAGACCATGTCACCAGTTGTACCTTGAAGCAAACATTTTCTCTACTTAAAAGTGATGCCGCTTCCAATAAGCAGTCCTAATTTTTCACACAGTTTTGAATGTGAGTCTTAACAGGTGAACTGCGATTAGTGGTTTCTTGTTCAGAGACCTTCCCAAAGCAGGACAGCTGTGAACAGAATAAAAGGTGTCCACAGAAGAACAGCGTGAGCGATGAAACTTCGAGTATTCGCTACTCCACAGAAGTGTCCCCTGACCAAGGGGAAGAAGAGGAAACACCGCCTGTGCAAGTCATTGCGCATGGAACCAACTGCAGCCCCCATGGCTCACAGCTAGAAGGTGATTCTATTTCTGCATTCAGACTGTTAATACATCAGAAGCTTTTACCTCTACGATCTCCAGTTTTCTTGGCTTGTCTGTCACAGAGGTAGAACAAGAAAAGGAAAAGGAAAAAGGAAACAGGAAAAGGAAGAGACACTAATGCTGTGTGATTATGGCGTGGGCCTGGCATGATTTCTCCCTGTCACAACATTTCTTACCTCTCTTCTTTCCAGAATTACATGCTGGGTCATGTTTTAGTATAAAACAAAACATTATTGAATTATATAACTTACATAGATTAATGTAAACCAAATAAAATCAAAACAGGCAGAGAATTTACTTGATAGAAGTGTCTGAAATTTCAGAAAGGAGGTTTTGACCGAGTCTCAAATGTACACAGGTGTGCAGTTACAATGCTGCTTCTGGTAAGAACTACTTTTAAAGAGAAAGCTCAAGTGATCATAAATCTCAGTCAGTATTCTGAGACTAAAATT